TGCCATCATTTAATACATGTACTCGTATGTATAGAAATTTCATTACATAAAATAGCCGTACTCACAACATTGATTATTTCATAACTTCTGTTCTACTTGGAATTTTTTCACCAAGTAAAGTTTTTTATATTTCTTAATGTCTCCATGCTTGTGCTAGAATATATTTAATTGAAAATATTTCACCGAAAATTTATACCTGAACCCCCTAACTTTGAGTCCTTACAACACATTAAAAATACCAATTTAAATTGTCTGGGTTTTTTTTTTTTAGGAAAGAGCAGATTCGGTCTTTTTGGAAATCAGTGGATACCCAAAGAAGGAAAAATTCAAATCCCTTCCTTAATCACGCATTGCAATTACATTTATTAATCTAGTTCGAAACTTCTAAGCAAAATTATATCGGCTATTGCACATTAGGTATTGCAGAAGACAGAACTGATGTGACGTGTAATTTTTTTTCTGGATTTTGCTGAAAAGACTGTTCTCTATGCAGTTACAGGTCAGAATAGGTTTCACTGGGGTGATAAGCAACAGTCGGCTTTTGAACAAATAAAACTGGCTTTTACAAGTGCTCTAGTTTTTACTTTACCAACTAAGGATGGATATTTCATCTTGGATACAGATGCAACTGAGAATGCCATCGGAGCAGAGCTCTCTCAAATCTAAGATGGTGAAGAGAGAACTATCGCCTATGGTAGTTTAGCCCTGTCATATGAGCAACGACCCAACTGTACAACGCGTAAGGAACTTCTTGCAGTAATAGTCTTTTTGTGCTACTTTAGATACTACTTACTGGGAAGATGCTTTACCATACGTACAGATCACAGCAGCCTTCAGTGGTTACTCAACTTTCGCTACCCAGAAGGCCAGCTCGGTCGTTGGATGGAAGAATTAAGTCAATACAACATGACTATCGACGCACCCTATATAAAATCATACACAGTATTAGACAGTTCGTACATAAAATGGTTCCACTACACAATACATGGAATCTCATGTAAACTTACCAAGTGTGTACATCAAGTATCAAGAAAACAGAGAAAATCTTTGCCTCAGATAATGAAAAGGATGATGACCTTGAAGATGAGGAAGTTTCAGGCCCAGAGAAAAATATTTGTTCACCAAAGTAAGCATCAGCAAAAACTTTTGAAGAAGTATGGTGAATTGGGTTTGATAGATGCAACGTATAAGACTTCAAAATATGCTCTGCCTTTATTCCTTCTTCTTGTGCGCACCAATGTCTCCTATGTACCTATAGCAGAAATCATAGTAGAGACAGAAAGAACAGAAAATATCTTGGAAGCTCTGGGAACCAAGATTTTTCATGATGGATTATTCTCATCAGGAATATCAAGCCATACATGAGCTATTCCCTGATGCAGCAAAATACCTATGCACCTTTCATGTGGAGCAAGCTTGGATCCGATGGTGTAAACAGAGTAAAACTCTATCATACTGGGGCATCGCGATGCTAATAACAGGAGTATATATATAGAGAGACGACGTATCCAAATATCAAGATATTTAGCTCCTCAAAGGTAGAAGATCATTCAATATTCAACGTCTACAGAAGCGTCTACAAAAGCGTGTGGGATTTCTTTACACTCTCACGCAACTTAGAAACAAAGGACTTTTACTTCTTAACCTGTTATGGTATACACTGTACATTGAAATAAAAAACAATATCCGATACATTTATTCCATTAAAATTAACCAACCACAAAGAGAAAAAATACCCACTCAGATTAAAAATAAAGAAAATAGAACACCAAGCAATTAATAGCAGACCCAACCCCTTTCTCTGAACTTAACAGGTCCAGTCCAAAGACTATTTCTACCTACGTAGCTATTAATAGCTACCTAGGTATTTAAAGCTACCAAAAGTAGCTATTTTTACCTACTTTATATAATTTCTGCATTTTGCGACCAAAACACCAAACGGCGCAACATGGTAAATACCATATCTTTTGATATGATCACACTAATGATGAATACAACAAAATTTTGGCCAAAAAATGATTACCTCCTGAATCGGCAATTTTACATAAGTTTCTATGCAAAATTGATAATATACGAAGTTTTCATTTTTTGGCCAAAATTTTTTTATATTCATCATCAGTGTGACTGTATCAAGAAATTGTGTGCTCACCATGTTGCGCTGTCCTGCATTTGGCCACAAAATGCAAGTGAAGCAGAAAGTAGGTAAAAATAGCTACTTTGGGTAGCTTTAAATACCTACGTAGCTATTAATACCTACGTAGGTAGAAATAGTCTTTGGACTGGACCTGCTTAAGACGGAATAAAGTGCATAATGAATTTACATAATTCATGTTAATAGATATCCTAATAATTTTGTTTATAGATATTTATTCCGTGATACATTTATCTCAGCTGATTTATAACGGAATCAAGTACATATATTGAATTTCTACATTTTTTTAAAGACATTAACTGCATGTATATACATTTATCTCTACTGATTTATAACGGAATTAAGTGCATAATGAATTTTTATAGTTTTCATTTATGAAGACATTTATTCCGTTATACATTTATCTCAATTTATCTATAACGGAATAAAGTACATATATCAGAATCCTGTTTAGGGAATATTTACATTTATTCCGTTCCAAATTTATTTTATCTAAACAATAACTAAGGAATGAATGGTGCATAACAGGAATTAAAAGCTGTTGAACAGAATAAAGCATAATACACAATAAACATGCACTTCGCAAAAGAAAATGGCGTCCAGACACAGAGCAATTCATGAAAAATGAATGTCTATACAAGATATAGTTAGACCAGCGAAGGAATGGCCGTTGTCAATCAGACGACTGTTTCGGACTCCATGCTTAAAACACTTCCAGAGAATCATTTTTTGTGCTTTTGTTTTCATAAACAGACTTGCGTCCGCCATTAACCATTTCAACGCACTCTTCAGGTAAAATTAATTTAAAGATAAGCAATTTAAAGAACAATTCCCCTTTAATTCCGAACCATTAATTACATTTTTGTACTCATTTGTGGACTTTTCTCCAACGGCAGGATTTATAATCTTTACGCCTGGAATGTCAGTGCGAGGGGCTATAAATACCTTGATGGTAGCGTAAGAAGATATGTACCAAGGCATTTGCGTTGAAACATGTACATTTGACAGAATAAATTATTAGCAAACTTTAAACATGTTTTTTATTCTTTCCTTTCTTTCTCTTTCACCAAGGATTTCAAGTCAGCTGTATTTCGTGCAATTTCTGGCGTGAAGGGAAAACTCCGCCCCAAAACTATTCATATTCAATTATTTAATTAAATTGTAACTAGCCACCCCCTTCTGTTATAAAATGACCCTTCCTCAGAGTTGTCCTCAGTATGCTCCAAGTCTTCACGTGCAGCATGTCGGAAACCAGGAAGAGTGGCGGGAGCTATCGCGAGAGACACACTGATGACATACTCACCATTGCCCCAGCAGAGTTTAATAACCATGGAACTTTTTTCATCTATTTTCAAGGCCTGATAATCACATTTATGAATGATGCAGGCAAAACAACCTAAACAACGTCTTTTGCATGCAATATAGAAAAATATCATGGGAACATGACACTTGCTTCTATATAACGTGCTCCCCATTGAACTATTTTTCGATGCTCCTTGAAAAGGGTCTACACCAGGTCTTCCAGAACCTATTCGTTTTTTGATAGAAGCAATCAGGTGTTGCAGGACATCTTTTTGTTTATAAAATGTTACTTTGAGAAAAACAGTGTAGTTCAGTGTTCCCGCTTTTCTGGCATATCATACACAACAGCTGCTTTAAATTTAGCGTCTTTTATTAGGGAAATATTTTGGGAGTATTTCCACAACACTCTCCGCTTTCGCAAATTTCAGAGCACAGTGGAAATTTACGAGACCCTTTTCGGAAGGCGCGTCAAAAATTCACAAGGGCAACCCAAACGTGGTTTGAAGGCGAGTTAACTCCCTTTCAACTATTTAATTCCAGTATTACCTTTTAAGTTCTTCCACATGTAAAGTATGCATTTTCCATTCTAGGCCGACATTGTTACATCAGGAGTTTTTGATATTTTTTTTTTCAGATATGGATATTTGGCATGGTTGAGCGGGAAACCAACAAAATCATCTATGTAAAGATCTATGTAAACAAAGAAACAAACGAAGAGGTCACAGTCCACACTCACAGAATAGAGGAGCATTGAAGCATGAGAAGAACCATTTTAGACGGATGGCTGGAACTAAAATAACACGATGCGAGGGTTATCCAGTCGAAATTATGTGGAGGGCAGATGTGAAATTAAACATCTACAATTGTTTCTTCGACGTACTCAAGTATCTTCACATTGGATGCAAAACCAAAATAAAATTACACTACACCACTGTTTGACACGTTGACAGGGTTCGCAGAGTCATCCGAATCACAAATCAATTCCTGGGAAATTAGGCCTGGTATGTTTTGCATAATTTGTAATACTAGTGAAAACGGAATGTTTCAGATATGCAGAAATATGCCTTTAATAGGCATATTTCTGCATATCTGAAACATTCCGGTTTTCACTATTCCTTGCACCGTTTTCTTCTGGTTTTAGCTTACACAGATGCAGAGACGGACTCATCTCAGGAGGAAGAAGTGCCCTCTGCAGTGCTGATTGGAAGTTCTGCCTCAACCCCCTCTGATTTCAAACAACCTAACAGGGAGTTGTCTTAATTTGATTTGAGGGAGAGACGTGCAAGACAATCAGACAGCTTCGATGCTTTTATGCATATGTTTTCTGGTGACGAAAGGGACAAAACCCTGATAGAAGGTGAAGCTTGCGATTATTCTGAGATAAGAACATACACAGTAATACTCCTCCAAAATCATACTACTTGTAAATTTACATTTGCATGTTATTTCTTTAAATGAAAAGCATGAATTCAAAAATACCTGAATTCATACATTTTTTTAACAACTCCAGTGGACACAAGTTCTCCCTCCTCTATGGCTTCGGAGAATGTCCAGACAGCTAGAAAACAGCGAGGTATATATTTCTATATATATAAGAAAGTTGATAGATTCCCACACAAAATAATCATACAATCAATATAACATACATAAACTTATAAACATCACATTGTGAAAGGCTCATAGGGTTTTGTACCTTTTTTAACTTTTGAAGGTACAGAAATTGGTAGTGGGGCAACATTCACGAGAGCACGCCAGTATGAAAGAATAAGAAGTATCTTGAAGTATTTCAATAGTTCTAAATCAAATAACTATTAAATCTATGTATGACCAGAAAGAAAATTTCTATTATCAGCCTAAAACAGTTTTTTCCTTACAGCTCGCAGTAAAAAAAATAAAGTTAAATTTTCAGTTATTTTTAGGGGTACTTGTCAAGAAGAGAATATGAAATATCACAAAAATACCTCTTCAAACATCGTTTTTGGAAATGTGATGTTAATGAAGTATGATGATTTATTCTTACTAAACATATATGTAAGAATTTTTTATCACAGTAAGTAAGTTCACATGATGACATTGATCAGAAGAAATTGACATTGATCAGAAGAAATAAAAATGATTTTAAAGAACTTACCAAACATAATTTGTAATTATATTGAAGGTGCTGCAGATTTTATACTATTAGTTTCAGGAAAGGGATAGAATATAGGCAATTTTTATCATTAAGCAATGAATATTGTGACTGAAAAATCAGGAGAAAACATACTTGTAGCTATTAAATATACAAATATCATTATATACAAGTAATAAAATTTTGGAATACATTTGAAGGTGTTGATTCAAAAATTATATAAAATGAAGAGAATTCTGTAAAATGAAGTTTATTTGATGGAATTTAAGCCTAGAAAAAAATATGTTTCCGCTTTCAGGCTGAAAAATATAGGGTAGGTAGGTAGGCATTTTTTAAAAACTTTTTTTTTACTTCTTTAATCAAAACGTGTATCCAAGTAACATTAATGACAAAAGAAATGGTGTTTTCAAGCATTCCTGTGACATAAACTTGAAATAGAAAGGTGACTCAAACTTCTTTTTGTCTTGAAAAGCTTGCAAAGTTGGAGACTTTAATTCCCTGGGTGAAATCTTGCACTTCATGGGACAAAGGCATTAAAAAAAGTTTAGGGTCGGCACTTTAAATTAGGGTTGGTCAGGAAAGCGGAAACAAACATATTTTTTAGGGCCTTAAGATATTTGCTTATAATTTCATGGTAAACTTATGCAGTTTTCTTTTTAATTTAGGAATTTCAGACAACAGGCTACATAAGGCTAATCCCAGAACCTTCTAAGAAAAGAAAAAGAGTCCAAGAACAACCAATGTCTGCCAAAAAAAAAAGAAATTGGACACAAAATCAGAAAATCGTCTAAAATTAAGAAAAAGAAAGGAAAACAGAAGTTCAAGATATCGAAAGACAACATCCAGAAACATCTCATTAGAAGATCAAAAAGAGAAGAACAAGAAGAGGAAATGATAATAATGGATGGCCATTCAACTGTGCCACAATCAATTCTGGAGTGTATTGCAGGTAGTTTCCATCAAAAAAAAAGAAAGAAAGAAAACATTACCATTAAGACAGCATTTAATCTAACACATGCATTTTTCTTTGGCAGAAATGGTCAGTCAGATGACAAGAATTGAATGGGAGGCTCTTATATTCAAGGCAACAAAAGAGGCTGCAACATCAACAGATACAGTCTCACAAATTGCCGTTACTTTACTTGAAGAATACTGTGAAGATGATCACATTCAGACTCTGAAGACCATATCTGATAACCATTGCCCAAAAGATATGACAAACCCACAGAAATTTAGAATGGCACTTTTAATGCTACATAATCTCGGCAATTATATATATTACCTTTTAACTGTGAAAATAAATATATATTTAGTGTGCCTATATCCTTGATTAATTTTAACATTATACTTTTCTAGTGGAGACAAAAAAAAAATTCATTTCGAAAAGAACTTTTGAGAAGGAACGCATGGAGAGGGAAGATGCCGAAAAAGCATGTGTAGAAGCTATAGCTCGGATGGAAGGTTTCAACAAATGAGAACCTACCTCATCAGGTAAGATACAGATTTTGAATTTTGTTTAATAAATGCCTCTCAATAAATAAATATTTGATGCCCTAAATGATAGATATGCACCAGTAGCTAAATACTATAGTATTCAAAAGTTATGACCAAGGTCAGAGATTTTGAAAAGTTGGTCAAACTTCAAGATCACAGTGTCAAAAATCAGTGTATTGAGTAAGGCCTTGTAACAAGTAACACACCTGTGTAATATGAAAGTGTTATCTCTACTTAGTCAAAAATTATAACCACGGTTAAGGCGGACAGATCAATTAGAATTAATGCTCCCTCACTTTCTCAAAAGTAGGGGTCACAGAATATATATATATATAGTCACTAAATAATTGTATTATGGACTCATTTATTTAAACCCTTTTTTACATTTAATTAGTAATGAATGTACATGTATATTTTTCATCTTATATTCTATTAAAGCATCTGAAATCAGAAGCCATTCTAAGAAAAACAAGAGGCCCACGGGCCTTATAGGTCACCTGAGTATTGTGGAACAACTTTCAAACAATTAAATTTAGTTCATGTTTTAAATCAGAGGCCATGAAATTCACAATTTACAATTTTGAAAGAGGCTCCCTTGCTTATCATAATTATCAACTTAGCATGCTTACTCTATTTACTTAATACCCAGGGGTAGATCAGAGTAACAAAGAGAAAATGCACTACCACTTTATACCCAGTTGTGCATCTCACCCTAAAGGAACCACTGACCCATGGGCCACATATTTCAAAATTCTGCAAATGTTATCATAAAATGGTTGATTAATACAAAAGAGCAGATTTCAAAGCATTAATTTATTTTCAGACTATGTAACCCCCCCTCTCTGACCCTGGGGGCATAAAAAACCACTTTGATAGAAGCACCTTTCTTCATCAATATATATATATATATATATATACTTGGATAATTGGCATAAAACCCAGAAGCAAAGGAAAATATTTTCAAAGAATTTATTTTTACTATATAATCAATAGAGCCCCGCCCTAGCACCAGAACCCTTAACCCTGAGGCCTTAAAATTCTAAATTTTGGAAGAGGCACTCTTGCTCATCATAACTATGTGCTTAGTTAGTTTATTTAATACCCAGAAGCAGAGAAGAAGATTTTTAAAGAATAAATGCATTTTCACTATTTTATCTATAGAGCCCCGCCTTAACACCAGAACCCCTGACCCGGGGGCCATAAAATTCACAAATCTTGAAGAGGCACTCTTGCTCATCATAACTATGTGCTTAGTTAGTTTATTTAATACCCAGGAGCAGAGCAGAAGATTTTCAAAGAAATAATGCATTTTCACTATGTAAGCTATAGAGCCCCCCCCCCCTCTAACACCAGAACCCCTGACCCTGGGGCCATAAAATTCACAAATCTGGAAGAGGCACTCTTGCTCATCATAACTATGTGCTTAGTTAGTTTATTTAATACCAAGGAGCAGAGAAGAAGATTTTCAAAGAAATAATGCATTTTCACTATATAATCTATAGAGCCCCGCCCTAACACCAGAACCCCTGACCTTGGGGCCATAAAATTCACAAATCTGGAAGAGGCACTCTTGCTCATCATAACTATGTGCTTAGTTAGTTTATTTAATACCCAGGAGCAGAGAAAAAGATTTTCAAAGAATAAATGCATTTTCACTATGTAATCTATAGAGCCCCGCCCTAAGAACAGAACCGCTGACCCTGGGGCCATAAAATTCAAAAATCTGGAAGAGGCCCTCTTGCTCATCATAACTATGTGCTTAGTTAGTTTATTTAATACCCAGGAGCAGAGAAGAAGATTTTCAAAGAAATAATGCATTTTCACTATATAATCTATAGAGCCCCGCCCTAGCACTAGAACCCCTGACCCTGGGGCCATGAATTTCACAATTTAGGTAGAGGACTCAATGCTCATTACATTCATGCCAACAGTTTGCCTGCTTGATGTACAGGAGTAAAGAAGAAGATTTTTAAAGATTGCAATAAATTTAGTGGTTTTGGCCCCACCCCTCAGGCCCCAGGGGGGCGGGGACCATGAAATTCACAATTTTTGTTCCCCTTCATCCATAGATGCTGTATACCAAATTTGGTTGAAATTGGTTCAGTGGTTTCAGAGAAGAAGCTGAAAATGTTCAAATGTTAACACACGACACACGACGCACGACACACGACGCACGACGACGGACGAAAACGGATAGCAATAGGTCACCTGAGTTACTCAGGTGACCTAAAAAGGGGAAAAAAAAGTAAAGTGGGAAACGGGCGAATCAACGGCTCACTGTAAAGGAAAAACCTGGACTGACATTGATTCACAGAAAGGTAACATAGATTGAAGAGTTTTACTGTTTAATTTTTAAATACTTTTTGTATGAATACATCCGATATAAGTATTAAACACTTTATAGCCAACAACGAGCTATTGAAAAAATGGGATCAGGAAACGACAACAAATTACATTAAAGCCCGAGTTTATGGTTATAAAGTCAGTGATGCTGATCTCATGTCTCTAAAAAGTCTAAGTGGTTGACAGATCAGGTATTAATTTTTTTTTCATTACATCACTAAAAATTATTCTTTAAGCCTGCATGTGATGTACTGCTTTAACCATCACAGTTTGAATTAATAATAATGAATAATAAACTGATTATGGCACAATTTTGCATTTATAGGTACTTGATGCATACCTGTCATATCTAGCTCAGAAAGAGTGGGATAAGGGGAAAAAAGTAAAGCATATGGGTGTATCCAAGATGACCAGTATCATCAATGATCATGTTCAGTCTTCAGAAAAAGAGGTTTTTAAAATAATCTTAATCTAATTTCTTTTGTGCAAAACATTGCAAAAATGAGCAATTTTATGTTTGAGTTTTATAAGTAAATAATAAGAGAGTCATCATTTCAAAGCTCATTGATTTTAAGCATTTGTAATGAATTGTTTTATAAAGTTAAATGATGTATGTATGCCTCATCATACTTCAGTGTCGTGTCATGGAATATGACTCCATCATTGGTGTGTATCATCAAAGAGGACATTGGGATCTAGTGGCAAGTTTTCAAATTCATTCACAAGAAATTTCAAATCAAACTTTACTGATATTGCAATATCCATATAAATATGATAAATTATGGCTTTGTCATTCTTGAGAAGAAGATTTTTAAAGAATTTACAATGTATTTCTATGTAAAACTTTGGTCGGCCAATTTGGCCCCGCTCTACCCCCAGAGGTCATGATTTGAACAAACTTGAATCTACACTACCTGAACATGCTTCCATATAAATATAATGAATTATGGCTTTGTCATCCTTGAGGAGATTTTTATCGAAAAAATTTTCCTATATTTCTATGTAAAACTTTGGTCGGCCATTTTGGCCCCGCCCTACCCCTGGTGGTCATGATTTGAAGAAACTTGAATCTACACTACCTGAGCATGCTCCCATATAAATGTAATGTATTATGGCTTTGTCATTCTTGAGAAGAAGATTTTTAAAGAATTTTTCTAAATATTTCTATGTAAAACTTTGGTCGGCCATTTTGGCCCCGCCCTACCCCCCGGGGGTCATGATTTGAACAAACTTGAATCTACACTGTCTGTGGTAGTGCCACATGAGTTTCATCTTTCCTGGTCCAGTGGTTCTGGAGAAGAAGATTTTTAAAGATTTTTCCTATATATTCCTATGTAAAACTTGGGTCGGCCATTTTGGTCCCACCCTTGCCCCGGGGGTTATGATTTGAACAAACTTGAATCTACACTACTGAAGATGTTTCCGCATAAGTTTCAGCTTTCCTGGCACAGTGGTTATTGAGAAGATTTTTAAAATATGCCACCAAATTTTCATTAATTCCCAATTATCTCCCCTTGAATGAGGATGTGGCCCTTCATTTCAAACAAACTTGAATCCCCTTCACCTAAGGATACTTTGTAGCAAGTTTGGTTGAAATTGGCCCAGCGGTTCTTGAGAAGAAGTCGAAAATGTGAAAGTTTACAGACAGACAGACAGACGGACAGCTAGACAGACAGACGGACGCCGGACAAAATGTGATCAGAAAAGCTCACTTGAGCCTTCGGCTCAGGTGAGCTAATAAAACCAATGAATCATTGATTGATTAATTCGGGTCATTTGCTGCAAGCAACCCCCCCCCCCCTCCCCGGAAAATAATTGTATGAGGTAGAGGGAGGAATACAGAAAAAGAATTCATTTGTTTGCAAAATATATCTACAAATCTTTCATCTTTGGATGTGAATAGATTTGGAGATCTAACACATTACACTAAAATCTTTGTTTATTCCGGAAAACACTTGTCTGCGTTGGTTTTTTTGGTGATACTTTACGTTCATGAATATTTATTAGAATGACGTAGGGCGGCCTAGCGGATCCTTTCTACCGCTTACCGTCTATTGACCACAAAATTCAGTATACAAAAAGTAGGTAAATATTGCTACTTCAGGTAGGCTTAAATACCTACATTGGTAAAAATAGTCTTTGGACTGAACCTGTTTATCATACGTGCAAAACATTCATTTATGGCTGTTTGGAAGGAACTTAGCACTAAGCCTTCGGAAGAAATGGACTTTTCCCAAGTTCTTTTCACACCAAATGTTTCACGAGTAAGCCAGTGGACGAGTTGACATAAACGGGATTTAAGCATTTTATCAGGTCGTACTCATATTATTCGGACAACTACTTGAACTTGATTCAGACCTCAGTAGTCGGCAGTTATATCCATAGGGGCTTGTCTTCCGGATTGATAAATGTAAAATAATTTTTCAAAAATTTTTATCTGCATTAAATACACTCTAAAAATTCCTTTAATAAAGATTCTGACATGATCAGGCGAGAAAAATTATGTTTTAAAAAAAGTACTACACCTACATGTTTATACATAACTCTCAAAGGGACGCAAGCTGACATCTTGGAGAAAATATCCCCTCCCACTTCAGCACTTATTTCTGGACTCTAAGGCATTAATTTATTTAGTTGCCACAGTTCTCTTTCCTACAGTGATGATTTTCCTAAATGTTGATGCGGTTGTCATTCGTGGACACGCGTTTAATCAACAGAAAACGGTTACAATTTCTTCGACTTGGAGCTCGCTGAATCGACCTCAAAAGAACGGAAGTTGACAAGGTTGCATGGTAACGACGCAAGGGCAATAATCGTTGTATAGCCTATAGCGTGCTTTTAGAGCAAATGTCATGTAAATTATGTAACAAATCACTTATATATTAAATGAGTCTTGACAATTTAGCCTGTGAAACCAAACTTTAGCCGGTAATTACCAGCTTTTACTGTCCTTTTCTTGTCGATAAACATTATTTCCGCGAAGCTGGGAGTCCTTTGGTGTTACCATTTGCTTTCGATTACCCTCTGAGTTTTCCGTATAAAAAGTCAACTTCCGTTCTTTTAAGGTTCTGTCTACGTCATCCTCAGCCCCAGACCCTGCCAACATCTCATCAAAAACTTTATCCAAATAGGACTTCTCAAAGAGTCGTCTCTCCCGCAGCTCAATGGAGGAAAGCTCCCTGTTCGGCATAATACCTGAGCTGGTTTTCTCCACTGTACCTGAAAACAACTCTGCCGAAGGATTCACTATTTGCGACTCGGTCTCACTCTCCGCATCAGTGTTCTCTGATATTAAAAGAAATTGAAAAAGTGACTTTGAATGTTGTGAATGTCAAATGACAAATGTATATTAACAGAATAGGTATTTAAATACTCAGGATATTTGTACCTGGTCTGATTTCCCAGTCATCAATTTTGGACTGGCTTTCAGGAATTCCTTCCCAGGAACTGAACAATGGTGTTGGATATGTGTATTGAGGTGGACCATCCAATGGATATACGGTTCTCAAAAGGTCAAAGAATGCTTCATAGATGTTTCCCCTCTCTGCCTGTCTCCACATGATTTCCGCCAAATGCCCTTCGAATTGAGGCAACTTTGTTCCAACGAGTCTCCTGAAGTCGTCTTTTGCGTGCTTCCACGCCCCCTCAATTCTGTTCGTATGCACAACTTCGATCTCTTGAGTCCTCGTATTCACGTACGTCTTCTTAAATGAATACTTGTGTAGAACTGTAAAGTGATCGTACCCCGCGTCATTGAGATGGCAATACGCAGACCTGCCGTCACTGTATATTGTTGAGCCTTTTTCTACATGGCGTTCAATGATGGGAACAAGGGTTTCTTCCGATCTGTCTGACACGGGGTACATCACCAAAGTATTAGTGTCGCGTTCTACCAACCCAGATATCCAAATCTAAACAGAAAAAATATTTTGTAAAAATTAAATTATATTACAAATTTAATATTGTATATAGATATCCTTGTAAATACATATTTTTTTTCTCATTTCTTTGTTTTCAAACTAATACTACTGTTATGTGTTTGAATTAATAACCTCTTTCTTGATAGTGTCCTTAACTTTAACATCACAGTTTGTATTGCATGCAACTGCTTGTAAATTTTATATTTCTTTCATTGTACAATTTTTTATTTGCTGAGTTGCTTTTTACCGTTACTTAATAATTTTTGAAGCATGTGAGGCACACATTTCTATTATTTCAATTTGTATTGATTGGTTTATTTTCATGGTAAACATTTATGATTACTTTTCATTTGGTGAGAAACGCCATCTTAATGTTTGTTTTAATACCTTTAGTCCACAATTAGGATTTCTTCTGTAGATTTTAACTCTTCTGCCAAATAGGGATTCGTCTATCTCTATAACCACCTGTAATTTTCGGTACCGGAGTTCTTTGTAAAATTACTCTTTGAACAGTTCTCTGGTTCATGTAAAACTCCCCCAGTTGACTGCTGTTGACCCATATGCCATTCCTGAAAATTGTGCACATAATGCTAGGCTACTCTTCTCCAGGTATGACTTTTTAAAGACCATCATATCTTGCAGCATCAAATTGCTTTTGTCGAAGAAAGAGTACGTCCTGGACGACTTGGTATGGTCCCTGTTCTTGGAACAACGGAAGATGCTGCCTCCAGGGGCCCTGGCTAGTGCCTTGAGATTCATCTGACCGTCGCAGTTGTTGTATGGACATGGAAATGTCGACGCCAAAATACCGTTCTGCCTACACCAGTTATGGAGATCTCGAAAACAACCCATAGAAATTCCAAGGGCTGCTAAAATCCCGTGGTTTTAATTCAAGCATGTTCTCTACCTGCCGTTCCTGAAAACTCCCACCGCCTCTCCTCGCTGACATGATTCTACTGGACGACTAGCAACGGTCAAAACGCCGCGTATTTATAAGGAAATTGGGTGGAGCTTCTTCAATAAGTTTGAATAACAATAACCTTTAAACTTGATCTAACCAGATACTCACCCTTAATAAATTTTATACTAACCACCAAATAACAAGGACTGTAAACAGAGTTTGTACATTTATTTATTTTTTTACTTGTTACATTTATTGTAATTCGTTACTTTTTCTTCTTTCTTTCTTCGTGCGGAAGGTACCGCCTCCTTCTCCCATCTAAGTATTGGTAGTGTCTCTGGCTCACATTCCAGGCATATAACGTGTAGGTCCGCCCAGCATGGAATAATCTTCAAAAAATTTGAATTGTAAACAAACGGTCGATAGAAATAAATTTTTAATCTGAAGGAAATTAATATACCTGAAATTGGCCCGAAAAGGACTCTGCGCGGGAATGTCCCTTGCCAAGCCCAAATTAGAACCCAGTCCATGAACACATCAGGGTTTAACCCGTTCACAATAATAAACGTGCAGATTAAAATCCTCTCCCAATGTGTTAAACATTGGGTCCAAAATAACCTACGTAGTTGGGCCATTCCCTAGCGGACCCTATAATATCCTGGATGGCCATCCACATGCAGCACTGTTAAGGTTTCATATAAGAAATAATCAAAAAAGCTGCGTGAAAATACTGTATGTCATTTTCAGACCCCTAACATTTATTTAAAAAATAAAATACTGACATGCGATGTTATTCTTTTTTTTCAAGATTGTCTCCCATTACATAGTCATGCAGTTGGTCGGCGATCATGTGACGTTTTGATCACGTGACTGTGTTACTTATAACAATTTCACTGTAGTTTACGGAAAATTCGATATCGCAAGGGCATAACCTCATTATACACAAAAAATTCCCACACTGATAAATACAAATGAACCTCCCTAATTTAAAAAGTGCTGCTGCTTTCATATATTTCCGCTTTAAACAAGGAAAAAAGAGATCGAAACACGGTATGTACTTACAAACAGTGGGCTACCCTGAATTCGACGAACTATATTTTAAATACCTCGTCTATATCAACAGTCCAGCAGCACTTTTCAGCTACCAGATTATTCTCTCCATAAACATGTAAAATATCACATTCAAACATAAGGGGTATGCCCTTGCGATAATACGTTGAAAATTTGCTATCTCATTTCATCACAAAGCGGGCCGATTTTCAAACGCAACACTGATCCAGACTCATCGCAAGGGAAGATCACTCTCCACATCTTTAAATATGCGGGAAATACGATTATAGAATGACTAACAACACCAAACTTACTTCTCCGAAGCAAATATGAATCTCCACACTTATTAAATGATTGAAACTCTCTTATTTTTATATGTTGTATACTTTTACGCTCACCAAGACTGGGTTTTACGATGTAGATGCCGAAGACAGCAAGTGAAAGACTTTATTTATGCAGTCAATATAACCTGTGGTCAGGAAACAAAAAAAAGCAAATTAGACAATATAGTCTCTAAGCCAAATGCAATGCCAACATGATACCACAACCTGCCTCGTCACAGTAAAAGGTCTCTATATCAAGAAGATGTATGTAAGAATACCATTTCCATCGAAAGCATGAATATGGAAATTTTACTGAGAAAGAATCGTTTTCATCATCTCTCCGATGTGCTTTCCAGGTATTATAGAAGGAGTACATAGTGCACCTGAAATAGACAACCACAAATCCTTTTAAATAATGCTAACACACCAAATTTCAAATTTTTATTCAAGAATATGATCAACTCTACAAAGAGCTGTGATCAATTGTATAATGATTGTTCTCACATTTACCTAAAAAACCATTCATAAAAATACACATATTTGATTTTTAGTAAACTCAGGTGACCTATTGCTATCACTTTTCGCCTTCTTCGTGCGTTAACATTTGAACATTTTCAGCTTCTTCTCTGAAACCACTTAACAAATTTCAACCAAATTTGGCATATAGCATCTTTGAGAAATAGGGAACAAAAATTGTTAATTTCATGGTCCCTGCCCCCCTGGAGCCTGGGGGTGGGGCAAGAACCACAAAAATTAGTACAATCAATAAAAATCTTCTTATTTACTCCTGGACATCAAGAAGTCAAACTGTTTGCATGATTGTAATACTGGGTATAAACAAACCTACTAAGTACATAGTTAAGATAAGCAAAAGTGTCTCTACTAAAATTGTGAATTTTATGGCCCCAGGGTTAGGGGTTATGGTGTTAGAGTGGGGCTTCTATAGATTATATAGTGAAATTACATTAATTCTTTTAAAATCTTCTCTGCTCCTTGGTATTGAATAAACTAACTAAGTGCATAGTTATGATGAATTTTATGGCCCCAGGGTCAGGGGTTCTGGTGTTAGGGTGGGGCTACATGTATATAGTGAAATTACATGAATTTTTTGAAAATCTTCTTCTCTGCTCTTGGGTACTAAATAAACTAAATAAGTGCATAATTATGATGAGCAAGAATGCCTCTACGAAAATTGTGAATTTTATGGCCCCAGGGTCAGGGGTTCTGGTGTTTAGGTGGGGCTCTTTAGATTATATAGTGAAATTTCATGAATTCTTTTAAAACCCTCTTCTCTGTTCCTGGGTGTTAAATAACCTAAATAAGTGCATAGTTATGATGACCAAGAGTGTCTTTACCAAAATTGTGAATTTCATGGCCCCAGGGTCAGGGGTTCTAGTGTAAGGGGGCTCTATAGATTATATAGTGAAATTACTTGAATTGTATGAAATTCTCTGCTCCTGGGTATTTAAACGTACAAAGTACAGAGTTATGATATCATCACACCATCGTCTCAAGCAACGGCCCGCAGTCCGAATATAGCTCTCTCCTACCCATGGCTGTTTGATCACAAAAAGGTCGTAATCTTGAATATTTACACCTCTCTATTGTGATGTCATATTCAGTCAGTGGCAAGTTTTGTTTCCATCGCAGTTGAAATCAACAACTCGACGCCATAGAAGCAAATGGTCGTAAGTGGTAGATACGACCCAAAACACGTTTTAAGCGTTATCTATAATTTAATGGTTAAATCTATCACATATCAAAAGGTCGTAACTGTAGCTCCATTAGCTAAAAAGATATGCTGAGTACAATTTGGTCGTATGTGAAAAGAAATTATTTTTCGTAATATGTATAAGGTCCTAATTACATATCCTACAGATACAAAAGGTTGTAAGTGGCACATACGACAAAGAGATGATACTATTCTACCTTACTTATTCAAACTCTAGATCTTAACTACCACTTAAAACCTTTGAAAACTTTGAGGTTTTAAAACCGTTTTATTATAATATGTGTCTTTTTAAGCATTATTGTAATGGTATATTTGGTATTTCACAAACGTAAACATTCAATAACTGGTGATCTATCTAAATTATGCTCAATAGGCATCATTCAATCCCTCGATTCAAGAGAGAAGGGATACAAATGGTCGCTGCAACATAAGTGTGAAAACTTAGATAAAAACTTAAGATTACACTTCATATATCAATATAAACAAGAAATTAAATTTAATTTCAATTATAATGCGTGTTGTTTCATAAAGGTTTGATCTGAATAATGAATTTTATTGTATATACTTTATTACCGTATATGAAAAGGTCGTAAGTAAAGACTTTTAAAACATTGAAAATTAAAATGTTTTAAGTTTATCGTCATTGTGTGAATAAATATTGTCAATGAAAGTCAATCATAATTCAATCTATTTTTTCCCAAACGGTTTTAACTACCAGTGATCATGACACAGTGTGATTATTGTAAAAGGTTCATTGTAGCATTAAAATAAATGGATGCTTAGCAGTTTTCAAACAACTATACATTTGCATGTACAACTCTAAGACAGCAAGTATAACAACCCTCTATAACCATTGAAAAAAATTAATGTGGGCCATTCAAGTAGCAAAGGTATAATGAAACTTGATATACTATGTGATAGGATAAAATATAGGATCAGAACAGTTTAAGATCATTTAGAAAATGACCACATTGCGCAAACTTTTTGATATTAAGGTAGAAACACCTTAGCATCGGTTTTGAAAGTAGAGGAGGGGGGACTACCACAGATTTCTTTTTTACTTGCCAGAGATAGATGACAAGCAAAAAAAAAAAGAACATTGCCCAAAGTCGAAAATTCTATTTTGTGTGTGTGCGTCAGGAGGAGAGGGTTAGAGACATTAGAAAAGACACATTGTGTAAGAAAAAGGACACACGAGAACATAGTAGCAGTAGAGAAGACACACGAAAACACAGTAGAAAAAGAGAGGACACATGACAACACAGTAGCAGTAGAGAGGACACATGACAACACAGTAGCAGTAGAGAGGACACTCGAGAACACAGTAGCAGTAGAGAGGACACATGACAACACAGTAGCAGTAGAGAGGACACACGAGAACACAGTAGCAGTAGAGAGGACACTCGAGAACACAGTAGCAGTAGAGAGGACACACGAGAACACAGTAGCAGAAGAGAGGACACACGAGAACACAGTGGCAGTAGAGAGGACACACGAGAACACAGTAGCAGTAGAGAGGACACACGAGAACACAGTAGCAGTAGAGAGGACACATGAGAACACAGTAGCAGTAGAGAGGACACAAGAGAACATAGTAGCAGTAGAGAGGACACAAGAGAACACAGTAGAAGAAGAGAGGACACATGACAACACAGTAGAAGAAGAGAGGACACATGACAACACAGTAGCAGTAGAGAGGACACATGACAAAACAGTAGCAGTAGAGAGGACACACGAGAACACAGTAGCAGTAGATAGGACACATGACAACACAGTAGCAGTAGAGAGGACACATGAGAACACAGTAACAGTAGAGAGGACACACGAGAACACAGTAGCAGTAGATAGGACACATGACAACACAGTAGCAGTAGAGAGGACACAAGAAAACACAGTAGCAGCAGAGAGGACACACGAGAACACAGTAGCAGTAGAGAGGACAC